TTGTTCACTGTAGAAACTGAAGATGAATGTAATTTAATGCTTCACGATGAGAGGAAATATGGAAAAAAGTTACGCTTTTCTGATAGTCCATTGAACTATTAATACTGTGGTTTTATTATAACATATGTAACTGTAGATAAGACTTTTATGTATTGATTGTATTCCATTGTATTGCAACAAGAATAAACATGTATATATTTAGACGCTATTTTCTTTTTTACCACCACCACAACACCGCATAATAATTACACAGAAGTTTGTAATTGTATAATTTATTTATTATATACATTATTACTATTTTACAATTTCGTTAAATGCTAAATTATTAAATTGTTCTAGTTTTCTTTTGCACTCTTGAGCTTGCATCCGCGCCACTTGCAAGTCTGTATTAAAAAGCGCAATTTGTGTTTCAATTTCGTTGATATTGCACTCTAATCCCGACAACTGAGACGCCAAGTTTCTTTTTAAATTGAATGCCTCACAAATGACACTTTTTTCTCTACCGTCCGTGAACACTTCGAGCCAATCAGCGGATGACGTTGGAGCTGCAAACGCTTCACTTGTGGTAGTTTTCTTCTTCTTCTTGCGGGATACGACCGACGCACTTTGTTTTCGTTTGGTCGCAGATTTTTTGGTTTGTTGCTCTACAGGAACGAAGCTGGACGGGAGCACTTCTGATGAAGGAAATTGCAACTCGAAATTTTCCAATAAATTATACAATTCGTTGGATGTCACAATTTTCTCTTGAGCCATCATATACACGTATTTATGTCAGAACTTCTAAATCGAGACTAAATTTATTTCAAAACGTCTACGTTGTCTACCCACGAATCGTGCGACTTATCCAATCCCAACCAGCGCACGAGAACCATATTGCCTCGTCTGCGCAACACCTTTTCGACGAGATATAAGTCCGGGTTAACTGTCTTCTGCAATTCTTCTTCATAAAATCCGCCCATTATGGGTTTACCCTGCATATCTTGAAGCAAATACGTTACGGGGTTAGTAACCCGTACTTTAACAATTTTAAACAATTCCGTGGTCCAATTCGGTGTATAACCTTTGTTGAAAACGTGCTTGACTTTGCTGATTCTAACGATGTCGCCGACTTTAAGTTTACGAGGACCGAATATTTTTATGCTACTATACGCGGTTTTCAAAATTCTCTTTTCGTTGCTCTTACTCACATCGATGGGTTTCGTACCCGTCGTTCTATGTTTTGTGTTATTGTATTCATCAACGATAGAGGCGAGCACATCGATCCATTTGTACGTCCCGCGTAAAGAAAAATGTCGAAACAATTTCTCTTTGAGGGTACGTATCACCCGTTCGACAATTGAGGCCTTTTTTATGCTATACGTACTATAGTGGTTAATTTTATGCTTATCCACAAGTTTCAGAAACGTGTCGTTGTAAAATTCTTTACCGAGATCCGTTTGCAAGTTTTGAGGGTGCCGTCCGTCCTTGAGAATTTTGGAAAACGCCTTGGCGACTTCGACCCCGGTTTTGGTTTTCAACGGGCGACACCATACATATTTTGAGAAACAGTCTATCACAACCAGCACGAATTTAAAATTTCTGTTTTGTTTGCTGTAGCGATCTAATTGGGCCAGATCCGCTTGCCACAGGTCATCCATCCCTCGTATTATAGTCCGGCGGCGAGCATAATTTCTGCGTGCCGGCTTGTGCAGTTCTCGAACCAGTTGTACCTTCTCTTTATTCATAATGTGTGTTCGGTTGCGATGGAGGATTTAAAACCCTTTGTTTCAATACCTTCATTATATTCTCATTTTCGTTCGTAAGTCGCTCCATTTTGGTTACAATATCATGAAATTGCTGTGACAAAACGGCGACTTTTGTCATGTGCTTTTCCAAATCTTTCTTTGCGCTCATTTCGCTTAGCTTTTGGTGGAAAACTTCGCGAAACTGCATAATTTCATTTTCGAGTGTAGTGCTACTCATTTTCAGTTGTTCTTCAAGACGCGAGAATTTAGTTTTGTCTTCAATTTGTAATCTTTTCGTGTACGCTTCGAGTTTCTGTCCAATAATCTTTCTCAATGCAATTTTTAATAAATTACTTGTCTCATCCACATATTTTTTGTTAGCCACGTCACCGTCATCGCTAGGCGTTTGGACATTGCAAATTTTTAAATTGTTCATATTGACGTTTCCGTCTGGCATATAGTCGAGGGCGCTTCTAATCACAGTATTAGTGAAGGGTCGTCGCAGCGCGCTAGAACGTCCAAACTTGTCCAGACTCATCGTTAAACTAACGTATAAAACCTGATTCTTTTAGCTCTTCAACGATTGAAACTATTTCGTTATCATGAGACGTGTTGCCTGCGTGTTTCGACGCGATTAGTAATTTCAGACGCTCTACGAGTTCATTGACGTCGTCCCAGTATACATATTCAGTAGGAGCGTCATTATAACGCATATTATAACCTTGACCGCTGTACGAGTACGAACGCGACTGAGATTTTATTAAGGGTCGGATGACCTTGGTATATTTTGGTACAGTCGATGCGCCTTTCAGACGTCCGATCGCGTCCCTGTGCACCTGGGTAGCCTCCATTATTTTTTTATATTGTGCCAAATCGTCTTTTGTGTATGCTATGGGATCTTTCAAAAACACCAAATTATACAAGCCGCGGGTACCGGAATATCTCTCGCCGTCTACAATAATATCGCCAGATCCTTGATGAAAATCCAGCGATTTATTGCCGAGAAACCATTTGGATGATATTTTGTCGTAAACGGGTCCGTAAACAATATCGGTGTCGGGCGATTTTACCCATAAATTTTGAATATATGAATGGGAAATTTCTGGATATTGTTCCAGGTATGATTGAAGGGATGCGTTGGCCACGCTCGATGTGTCAAACACATCATCTTCCTCCTCATCGATATTTTGCATCTCAACGCTCTTATTGGGATCCGGCGTTTCCTGAATTTCTTCCATAGGCAAAAATGATACGTTAACCTTATTTTTTGTTTCTTCGTTCGGTTCCTTTTTGTGTTCCCGCTTGACACCTCGACGTTCAGTTTTTATTTCTGCCGGTGACGGTGATAGCTTTATTTTTGCTATACGTTCTAGCGGCTCGCTGACGGGTTTGAAAAGCTTCCGAATTGACGCATCCTCTTCGCTCTTACCCAATTTTAATGTTAAATACTTCTTTCGAATAGATCTAGACAACTCGTTTACTTTTTTTTTTAGCGCCGCGTCGGCGATGTCGGCGGACGTCGCCTTCATGACTGTTTCTATCGACAATTAAATATCGACTTTTATATATTTATCGAAACCCTTGCGGTAGCGTCCGTTTTTTACGTCGAAATCTTTGACAATTATCAAACAGCCGTACTTTTCTTTCCAGCACTCGGAACAAATTTGTTTAAACGTGTCGTATGAAACGTCGGGTGAGACATGTTCATCATAAACGTGACGTAAATTCATGTCATCCTGTTTAAACAACGCGACAATATTGCAATTGTCACGTATCAATTGCTTGGGTACCTTGGAGTATGTCTGACAGAGATAAATAGCGTCGATGGCCTTGTGTCGGCACATCGAAAAATACTCGCGAATTTTATCTTGCTTGTCGCACGCCACGTCGTCGAAAATAAACAGAGAATTCTCTTTCGCGTCGCTGGGGTCGATTATCGAGTCTCTTTCACTGTAGGGATAATATCCAACTCCTTTGACATTGCTCAATACGCGAGATAACAGTTGATATTTTGGTTGATACAACGACTTTGAGTAGACGTAAACATTTTCGAAACTTGCCCCGTTGGGGTTAAAGAGTAGCGCTAACATGGTGTTGGTTTTGCCGCAACCGCTAGGTCCGCAAAACACCGCCCTAAATGAATTGGGTAGCAGTTGACCGTGTTTGCTTTTGTTAAAGAAACCATCTCCGCAAACCAAATCTAAATTATCGATGGGGAGCTTGAGTTTCTGCTGCACCACCCGCATGACTACAATGTTTATTCGAGACACCTCGTATATATATATACGACACAAGCAATTTCCTTTAATTAGTATGTTATGCTTCGCGTCCGGAAGTGGTCTCGTTAACACGCTTATTAACAAGTTACCTTTTGAAGTACACATTCCGGGTTACCAGTTTTGCGGTCCCGGTACAAAATTGGAAAAACGCTTGAACCGAGGCGATAGCGGGGTGAATCCTTTGGACGCTGCGTGTAAGGTACACGACATTGCCTATTCGCAAAACAAATCGTTAGACGAACGTCATAAAGCGGATAAAGAATTGGAAACGCGTGCGTGGCAGCGAGTAAAATCTAAAGACGCAAAGTTTGGTGAAAAAGCTGCCGCATTCTTTGTC